TGCATGTGGGCGGACCCGCCTGGAGATGGATAGAGGAGTGGTGTCTCAGTTCCTTTGACCATTGGAAATAGGGTCTTAGGCGACCGCTGTGAAAGGGTCATTCGACCCGCAAAGGGGTCGTGACCCACAGATTGAGAACCGCTGCTGTGGAGACTAGAGGGGAGAGCCCTGCTAGCCCTGACATCAAACCTTAGCCCTGGGACTTCTGAGACAATGCCGGGCTGCGGTTGGAGAGCCGGGGTGGGAGGGATCGTGGAGGCGCAGGGGCAGAGGATGGGAGAAGGAGGCCCCCTGTGTGTCTCGGGCGCCGAAGGGGGTGACGGGTGCCAAGACACAAGAGTGGCATCTTTCTTGACACGGGAAGTCGTCCAATGACCACTTGCTCTTGACCTCCAGGAAAGAAAAAGAAGAAAACTCGAGGTGATCACTTTAAACTTCGTTTCCGAAAAAACTTCCAGGCCCTGTTGGAGGAGCAGGTAGGAGAAGAGCTGGGAGGACACCCGCCCCACCCCCCATCCCCAAAGGGACAACCTGGGGCCCGAGTGCCCCCCGGGTTGTTGCTGTACCACGGAGCCTGCCCTCCCTCTTTCTGCAGAACCTGAGTGTGGCTGAGGGTCCCAACTACCTGACCGCCTGTGCGGGCCCTCCCTCCCGGCCCCAGCGCCCCTTCTGTGCAGTCTGTGGCTTCCCCTCCCCATACACCTGCGTCAGCTGTGGCGCCCGCTACTGCACCGTGCGCTGTCTGGGCACCCACCAGGAGACCAGGTGAGCTTGGGCCGCCCCTGGGCCAGGCCCCCTCCCCTGCCTCTGCTCCGCAGACTGCTGTCCTTACCTGGGGCCTCCCCTCTCTCGGTAGGTGCCTGAAGTGGACCGTGTAGACCTAGTCTCCTTCGCCCTGGCTTCAAAGAGAGCTTCATCATGCCAGGGAAGGGGCTCCTTGTGAACGGGGACAGCAAGCCTTGTCCTGGCCCCAGGGACTGCTCAGCGGGAAGTGGCCGAGCCCTCAGGGGCTGCCGTCAGTCATAAAGTCTCCCGTGCAGAGGAGGAGCAGGCCTGCCTGGTATTTTGGGAGTGAGGGATGAGGCCACCTGGCTCCCTGACTCACTGCTGGGTCCTGTCAGCCGTTCCTCCCACTGAGGCTCTCCTCTGTCTACCCTCTGTGCCCTTGACCGGGAAGGATGGTGTCTCCTCTCCTAGTCCCTCCACATCTCTGCCGCCCTTGGCTGCGCCTGCATGTCTGGTTGTTACTGTTGGCCCTGTGCTTTAGCTTTTAGTTTATCTCGTTCCTGTGAGCGTCTCGAAGTACAGCGATCCTTCCGTCCGGGAGGGTTGGGGAAGGGGGCAGGGTGAGCTG